TTCTAAGTCGGTTATATCTAAAGCTACATCAACAACATCAACATATTCCCCGTAAACATGTTTTTTTTCATCTTTTTGAGGCATATTTTTTTTCTTTTTACTTTTATTTACTACACGCCTATTCATAATTTTAACTTCTTGTTCGGGAACATCAACACAACGACCACCCACGTCATTAAGATATGTACCAACATCATCATCACCAACATACTTGTAATTCTAAGGATCCACATAGTGAATAGGTGAATAAGTAACATTAACATTTTCAACAACACTGTGAAATTGAGGTACACTAGGAGTATTGAAAGTACCTATCGGATCGTTGCTCCCTTTATAACTGCATAAATTATCAACCGCCTGATTTCCACTTTGACCAACCTCATTAACCTCATCTCCTTCATCAACCACCACAAACACTTTCACAGCCCTTCCTCCACTATATTTGATTACATTTATCAACATTCTAATATCCATGTCTTCAACCATGGCTATATAATGATTCAATTCAGGATGATGGAAACGAAGACTAATTCTATATTTGTCTAACAGACCAATTTTGCTTCTCACCAAAGATAAAAAATCACTATAACTAATATACTCATAAAATATCAAAGCGAATTCAGAAATACCTCCCTGCAGACATACGTATTCCAGATTTGTTTCAATAACTTGCCATCTCCCACCAGTTACAAGACAAACCAAATATTCAATCATTTTTTAGAGAGATTTTTAAAAAATTTCCTAAAGAAATAACAAGTAAACTGATAATTTTCTACAAATGTTTATATATAATAAGGTTATTTCGTAGTCAAACCCATTGATTTCATAGTCAAAATAAAAAATAAATAAATAAAAAAATAAAAATACATAAAATCGCATATCAAAGAGAGAGGAAATCGCACTGTCCATCTGCGATTTTAGGCTGATTAACTATATATATATACAAAAAAACCCATCTGCGAATGTACAAGTGGTAAATTCGCAGATGGGATGTGCAAATCGCAGATGGACCATTCCCATCCGCGATTTCGGTGGCCAAATTTGCAACTTCAATTTTTTTTTTGGCTATTTTCCACAAAATAAAAATTAGCGAATTTGGCTAAATTTGTAATTTTCTCTATTAAATAAACTGTCTAAACAAAACCAAAGAGAAGATCTTGATCCACACCTAAATATGGTTGATTTATAGCGCACGATGAAGATATTCGGAAACTTTTTAACAGATTTTCTCTTTTAACATCCTGACAATACATAATCATTAGTGAAGGGACCACAAACGGAGGGTGTAGAAATGTATAAGGACTAAATATGTAATTTCCAATTATTATTTTTTTCTATATACATTACTTTCACGATATGCTAAAACCCTCGATACTTTAATAATACGATTAATCTTCATAATTTCTTTCTTATAAGCTTTTATAATAAATAAATCTTAAAATAGAAAAGGATGATATCATTCTTAAGTATAAGTAATTTTCTCCGGTGTTCAATAAAAGAAGATGAGATAAGATATAATAAACCATTTTGGGTGAAATAACATTGAATAAATAAAGCATTTCAAAGGAATCGTCTCATGAACACATGTATTACACACTTCAAAGGACAAACATCTGTATTTTTTTGGGATGGTTTGTTTGTTCCATGTGGTTTATATAGATATTATATGGGTCCAAGGTTATTTAGGTCAACAAAGTGTTATGACATAAGTATACAATCAATGAAAACAACACAAATAATACAAATTAAATTCAATTATATGTAATATACAAGAATCAATTTTACATAAACATACTTGAAAGAAGATTACAACCAGACAGTCACGGAAATTTACAGATTGAGGTATGGTTTGCAGTGTTATAAGACGGAAATTTCTCTAGTAGGGATCTATCTAGAGGATACAACAATCTAATCAAGATAAGATCTTGATTTTAACAAAATTCTCTATGTCCTCATTATGATTGAAGAGTTCGAAAATATAAGAAGAACGTGTTTGGTGATCCATAAGTTAATAATTGTTTTTCCCTCCAAAAGCCTATAAAATCGAAATTAACTGTTAAAACAATTAAATTGAATTTAACAGATGTTATTAAATAAAAAGTCAAAATCAAAATTAATATACAAAAACAATTTAATTAGTCAAGGAGACCCAATCACTAAATCCAACACAAACCCTTTAGCCCAAGCTTTTTGATCTAATTATTAAAGTACTAGAAAAAAGTTTTATAAAAGTAAAAAATGTTTCTTCCTTCTTTCAATGTGGAACAAGTCCCACATTTGTATTTTTAGAACAAAATTCAAATTGGTTCGTATGAGTTAACCATTATCATCTAGAAAAAGAAATGGATATAATCACTCTAAAAGATATCTAGTTGATGCATGATTCTACATCATTTACGTGTACTCTTCTCTACCAAAATAGCTCTCTTGGCTCAATACAAAGTTGACAAAACGAATATTGTTTTATAGTATGAGATGTCACAAATATTAATGCACTCAAGTGCTCAACATAAAAACAAAACATATATGCATTTAGTAGTCTTAACTTGACGCAAGTAAACAGAATAGACTAAGGATGAGCAACAGGACCGAACCGGCCGGAACCGGACCCGACCCGGGAACCGGCTTCGGCCAAAATCAAGAACCGAACCGGCCCGGCGGTTCTACCGGTTCCGGTTCTACCAGTTCCCGGTTCCTACCGGTTCTTGTCGTGTCTTCAAATGTTGGAACCGGTCCTTGAAAAATAGCATCATACGGTTCCGGTTTTTGCCGGTTCTACCGGTTTTTGCCGGTTCTACCGGTTCCGGTTATATCGGTTCCGGTTCCCACCGGTTCCCGGTTCCAAAAATCTACAAAAATAACGTCCCGGTCCCGGCCCGACCGGCTCCATCGGGTTCCGGTTCCGGCCGGTTCCCCGGTCCATATGCTCATCCCTAGAATAGGCACCTCCCCACATTTTGGACCCCATCCTTGCAAACCAAATTGACATCATAACAACCGTAGTAGCATAATCATAAATAGGTTACATACTTGCATGTATTAGATAATAATATATATTGAATGGAAATGGACTGCATTAACTATTTTTATAATGTGTGATAAGCTTAACAATGACCGGACTAAATATTAAAATTCCCACAGTTTTAGACATCTTCATTTCAGTTATTTCGTGTTGTGTTGACCCGTTTACTTAAACAAGTTAAAATGTTTTACCAAAATATGTTTATTTCATGTTGGGTTAGCGGGTTGGATCTGTTTTTTCCACTTTGAGTGTCACACCAAGCCAAAATGGAGTGCAAGTCTACCATAACAAACGTAGCCATGAAAACTAGCTTTCAGAATAAAAAAAATTTGTATAGATAGAAAAAGATCCGATATGAATCTAGAATAATTATAAACATGTTCTCATTCCTTTGTATTATACATTGGTGTTGACATATAATTTATCTTTTAGTATCAATAATTCTATCTGTATATATTGGACACATAACATTTAAATCAAATAACAACAAAAAACGGATAAACGGAGTACATAATATGTCTTTACATACTTATGCATTGTTGACTTCCACATGAAAACGCAAGAGAATGATCGAGGACCACAACATCTTGACCAAGTGTTCCATTTGAAAACAATGGAAGTGGAAGGGAGTCAAAAATCGATCAAAACGAACCCCACAAAACTTTAGAAAAGTCTTGGCAATCCACCCCCATCAGACAATCATAGTTACAATTTGGTCCCCACGATATATTAGGGATGAGCATAACCGAGTACCCGCCTATTTTAGCTAGAACCGGAACCGCTTCCGGAACCAGCGGTTCTTAAGTTTTAGGTATTGGAAACGGAACCGCCTACACCGGTTCCTAGAAAATTGGAACCGCTCCCGGAACTGGTTCCGGTTCCGGGTACCCGCTTCTTGAGTATTAAAACTTGTTATTTTATACATGCCATGTAAATTAACCTATATAAACAATATAAGTACACGATATATAACCAAAACATTTACAAAAATTTGATCTTTTAAATAACAAGCCATTAAAACCATTTCCCACTTTTAAATAACACAATAGAAAGAGCCAACAACAAACTACAAACTATGAAATAACATCACTTTTAAATAACACAATAGAAAGAGCCAACAACAAACTACAAACTATGAAATAACATGAGACTGAAATTGTAATTCATAAAAGCAAAAACAGCAACAATAAAAAACAGCAAAAACAACAATAGTAACAGCAAAAACAGCAACAACACAAATCAGCAATAGTAGCAACATCACATCATAACATTGCGCCTTGATAACCTTAGGGGTGTTTATGGGGCGTTTCTTTTCGGATAGTAAGAAAATTATGAACCATGACCACGAGACAGGTACCTTACATGCACTAACCGAAACCAAACCGAATTGCTAAAAAACTCGAACCGAACCGAACCGTATAAAGGCGGGTAACCACGGTTCGGATCACGGGTACCCACTAAATATAAAAAATAAGAATCAATAAAAGCTATAAACTCCATTTTAACCGTTCTTTCTGAAATCAAAATACATAAACATAAAATACGTGATAAAAGTTGATAAAAACATACATACACATTTGGGCCGTATATTTATTGTATTTAAGATTTAATGTTTTTATCAAATCAAAAACAGTTTACAATACTAATGCAGTCGTAAAAAATAAGATCACCCTAAAATTATTGGATGAATATGTTGGTAACTAGACAGCTTCCGTCCGCACATTTTCTTAATAACTGATTGCATGATCTAGAGTCAAGAGTCGAGTTGATTATTTAACCGTCTGAGTTTGATAATGTGTACTGGCAATTTTATTCTTTGTATTAATTTCTTATATAGTTATATATAAGTTTCGTCAAAGTATAAGATTTGACAGTTGATTAAAATGTACGGTTATCGATATTCGTTGCTATTCACCATATATATATATATATATATATATATATATATATATATATATATATATATATATATATATATATCCCTATTAATTCTATATTATATGAATATTATTTAATGTACTTAAACATTATGATATTAATATTATTAGAACACATAATTATGAAAATTATTTGTTTGAAAGTTGATTAAACACGGTTCGGTTCGGGTATCCGTGGATATCTAAATACCCAAACCGAAACCGACCCGTAGGTACCCGGTTTTTCGGTTTCGGATTGGCCAGATCGGCTCGGTTTTTCGGTTTTGCGGTTTTTTTGCACACCCCTAGATAACCTTGCCCGTCTTTGGATCTCTAACATTTGCGTAGTTGCGCCCTGTATAACTTTTCATTTATAATATAAACATTAAAAATATAATAATAATTAGAAAAAAAAACCAACAGATAAGAGGGACCAAATAGTCATTTTACATGGGGAAATGACCAAAACGCTATGAAGCCCTAAAATGAGGACCAAAAACATATAAAAAAATTGCATAACACAAGGACCATATATGTAAGATAGTCATAATTATATATATATATATATATATATATATATATATATATATATATATATATATATAAACTATTAATAAAACGATAATCTAATTTTTATTAAATAAAGACATTAAAGAGATCATAAACAACCAATTATACCCTGGGCAACTATTAACCCATTTGACCCGTTTCCATTTTTCCTTTTTTTTAAAGTTGTTTTTTACCCATCCTATTAACAAACATTTTAATATATTATAGAAATTATAAAAATGTAGTAATCATACTGCATAAGATAGAAATAATAAGGAATTGAGATAGTTTCTCCTTCCTACTCACAATTTTATCGATGTTGTGTATTTAACTGTGAAACAAATATGGAGTAATTGGCGCTTCTAAAAGAGCATGACTGACTGACAACAAAAAACCAAGTACAATTGTTGAAAAGCAAATCACTCTAAAATTAAGACAAAATTACCTGTGTTTTAAGTTAAGACTGTTCGTGTTTTTTCCAATACTTCAGTTTTCAAAGATGTTTCTTTCTCCAACTGCTCCTTGCATACACAAAGCTACATGCAAAAAAACATAAAATAATCAAGCAAACATAGTAAGGGAAAATGGATTATTCTAGTCAAATATGAATAAAGAATTATTAGTAAACTGGAGTATAATTTAATAAAAAAGTATACCTTTAAAGGATGACTAGAATAATAGTAGATGATCTCTGTATCTGTACCAGAATTCACATTTAGCAGGATTTTTTCCTTATTAGAAGTTCGCTTCACCACTGGAAGAACATGATCAGGAAAAGTGAAAGGCACACTGAGGCAATGTCCCAATCAGAATCATGCTCGGGGGTAATGTATATTGGTATAGCACCAGATAACACCATGGAAGAAAAAGCTGAGATATGAGAGTTTTTTTGGAAGAATTAGTGTATCTCCCGGTGAACAAGTAGCCATAACTGATGCTTGGATTCCACATGTTGTTCCCCAAACTAAGAACCATGTTTTTGTAGCTCCAAACAATTCAGTTGCTTGCTTTTGAGCATCTAAGTCATGGAGGAAAGGTAGTAGTCCAATGAGATTAGACAATGAAGAAGGAGCTGCTCTACCCCTGTTATGTCCAGGAAAGTGAAAACTTGCAACTTTTTGCTCAGATGAAGCCTTTAGCGCGCTACACCGGATTTTCCTGATTTCAGCACATCCAAATTCTAATTTCTAATCAACATGTCATTGTCTTCGAAAACAACGAAGAATTGAACTAAAATCGGTACGGAAATACAAGAAACAAACTGCAATAACGAATTCAAAGCCAGATGGATTTTAGTTTTCTACCTCAGAAATACAAGCCATTGTTGTACCGCTATACCCAAGGCTCTGCAAGAGCACAATTTACAGAGATGATTTGAGCTTACTCGATAGATGAAAAACAAGTATTTAATAAAACGTGTATGGATTACGTACCAAATGTAAAATGGCAGACACCATTGTTGATGTATGTACAAAGGCGGAGTAGTACTCGCGACGAGAGAGACGAGGGAGAACCTAAGTAGGGATGATCGGAGCGATATGGTACTCGCGATGGTCTACTCCAGCAAATCAATCGACATGGTCCACCGTCGTCTTCTACCCTTCTTTAATCGATGTGGTACTCGTGATGGTCTACTCCAGGGAATCAACACAACGACGACTGGAGCGATTGAAGCCTCGATTAACTGAACGATGACTGGTTCGAGAGGGGAGAGAGGAGAGTGATGAGGAGAAGACGGAGTTTTTTTTTTAAGAACGAAAATCAAAAACCCTAAAAACGAATTAGGTCTAAGGTAATCGGTATAACTTTTTTTCCCTATTTTTTAAAAACATAATTACCAAAATATAAAAATTTAATATATATTTTTGTAGAAAAAGACTGGTACCCGTCGGGACCGGTTCCGGTTAACCGCCGGTTCCGGGTACCCGATACTGGAACCGGAACCGGCGAGTATCCAGCAGGTATCGGTTTCGTAAAAATGAGAATTGGAACCAGAACCGCTTAAGTCGGTTCCTAGACTTTAGGAAACGGAACCGGAACCGTCTAAGGCAGTTTCGGTTCCAGAACTGGCAGTTCCGAGACGGTTTCGGTTCTGAAAGCAGGTACCCGCTTCCGCTGCTCATCCCTACGATATATGACCCAATCTCACTTGTACTCATACATAATAAGCATGAATACATCAAATTATTGAAACCAAGGGATCACATGACTAACCACCAACCACACACTTATACTTTAACCAAAATACCATGAACACAGCCACGATTGTACATCATGCATCTAAAATTGTATCCTATTCAATAAAACATACACCTTAAAATGAAAAAAAATATAGACTATATATACACATATAATACAAGCTCATTAGAAATCTCATTTTCATCATTTCATTAGAAGCTATATAACTCAATCTCGACCCTAAATTTCTGATGCTTGAAATTCGTAATATATACAATAACAACAATAACAATACCTAAGACTCATACATGAGGGAGATGTAATATATATATATATATATATATATATATATCTATATATATATATATATATATATATATATATATATATATATATATATATATATATATATATAAACCTTAATTTTTTGGTGCCTTCTAAATCAAAATCGCACCCTTCTATAGACTCCACGTCATCTATTTTTGGACAGACGCAATGTTCCATAATTTCGATTAACACTCTTCTTTCTCCCTCTTCGAAACTATCCGACACACATGTTCAACACTTTGGAGAATCGTTACCTTGATGTTTCAGCCATTTGAAACCGCCTCATTCCATCGTTTCCCTCCGCCGAAAACCATCATCCCTGTCTAATAAATCCCAAACCTTTATTCTAACCCATGGAGGGTGAAAATCGAGAGCTACAGAGAGTGAAGCCTGGTCAACCAGTTTATTTTTCGGGGACCGGTCCCCGTTTTCTCTATTTAATCCCCATCGATCGTCTGAATCCTTTTTATTCAATCGATACCATCACCACGACCCATTTCTCTATTAATCATCGTTAGCATCATCATTCGTCAAATCGATCTAAATGCTTAAGTTTCTTCTTCTCAATTTCAATCGCCAACACCAATATCTATGCCTATTTGATTTGAATTTCTGGTGGAAGAGAACAACAAGCGTCAGTGGTGTCGATCAGTGGCTTTGAGTATATCGTTGAATCAATTTACAGCGATGAAGACTTTCAAAGTCGCTCCTTAGGGTGCCTATGTTCGATTCGGGTATGTATAATTACACATTAATATCTACAGAACCCTAATTTGATTTTAATTTTAATTTCGACTTTTGTTATTGTTGTTTAGGATTAATCCAAGATTGGATGTTAAAACCCTAAATTATCCGATGGATATCAAATTGTGAATACCAATGTAGAGAACTCTGATTCAGGCTTACTGACTTTCTACCGTTAACACCAAGCAAGCATCCTTGGTTGCACTACCAGGAAAATATTCCTACAAATAAGGGAACATAAACATGCTACTGTAACTCTGGAAATCTTTCTCCTTTGCAAGTACTAAGTGGACAAGTTTATATTGAAAATTTTAAGCATTAATGTCATAATAACATTTTTACTGATTTCACAGGCTTCAAGGAAGGTTGTTTGTTATCGTTGGTTTGTTTCCTTTTATTTTTCCTGTGTGACCTAATTCTCATTAGTTTCATGAACTTTCTCTATTTGATTTTTACAAAATTCTGAACATGATACAATAAACATAATTGGGACATGTTGTGATGTCGGACCATAAAGGCAAAAATCTATCTTTTTTTGAAAATGATTCAGGCTTATCCCAACATTTATGGTCCTTCACAGGATCTCCCATATGGGAACCACAGACGATGCCACACCATTATTTTGTATCTTTCTACTTTCTAGGTTACAAGCTGTCCACATCAGTAAAAGAAAATGTAAATTGGCTGCTATTGTGATTAGATAGTGAGTTAGGTTGCCTATATTGGTTAAAACAAGTAAATATGTTGCTATTTTTATTGGTTTCAGATTTCAAGTTGTCCATATTGGTAAAGAATGTGAGTTGGTACCTATATAAGTATAAACAGGTAAATGTGTTGTTATTTGTTTGTTTTCAGGTTACAAATTGTCTATAATGGACTAATGGCCACCACTTTGACTCCTTTACCAATATGGGAAATTTTACACCGTTATTTTTGAAGAATGACAATTTTTTGTCCGTAGAGGTTGAAAAGGGAAACATTCTTTATATGAGATTCAAGGGGAAAATTCAATCTATTTACAGTTTATGCCCTTTTCTTTTCAAAAATGATCAAATTGGGAAACTATTTGTATTTATATTTCCATAATTATGAAAAACCACCCATTCATGTAAATGATATGATTTCTACTTTTCAAAAACTGATATTTGTATGTTAATGTCAAAAAAAGATAAGAAGCTTCTAGATATCAGTAGAAGATAGGGATTTCTTGCTTAAGTTTGGTTAAAGTTTGCCATTTTCTTGATTATTCACTTAATAATTACTGTTTCATTCTTTCTTTCACATGTAACTGATCTACAAAACGTGTTTAGTATAGAGGGTCATGTTAATTGGACTGATGCAACTGATAGTACTTTTGGTTTTTTAAGAAAAATATTATTTCCCATGAAACTCAATCTTACTGTATTCAATGCAAAATGATATATTATGCATGTTTTTTGTTATAAAAAGGCAAAATTAATGTCAAACTCAATGATGCTCTTAAACAATCATTTGAGAAAAAATCGACATTACATACCTTATAAAACACCATAAAGTATATGTATATTGCTAGCTCTAATATACTTTAAGATATTTTATAAGTTCTTTGATGCCAAAGTTTTCTATTATGTTTTTTACGCAACATATTTGTGTTAATGCAATGAAAAGAATGGTTGGTGTTTGTTTTTCTATAACAAAATGCATACTAATTTTGCAATGAATAAACTTTGTATTATAGCTTGCATATCTATAAATCGAGCAAAACATATTTTCCAATTTAATTCATTTTCTCATGATTCTTAACAGGCGAAGATGCTCAAGTTAACAAACCTAGAGTTCATCTTTTCTGCTTAGATGGCTGGTCTAGACTCTAGATGATTCAAGCAATATATTGTAGCATTGTACTTTAACCTTTTTCGTTTTTAGCATAACATACTTTAGACACCTTAAAAAATATACACAAATTACCTTTTTTTGGGTCGTGCTTAGCACAGACCTCAAAGTTTTCTAGTATATATATATATATATATATATATATATATATATATATATATATATATATATATATATATATATATAAGCAAGCTCTAACGGAAGGCAGGGAGCCTGCTTCCATTGACGAGATGTCACATAAAAAAAAGTGTGAACCCACATTGCATGATCTCGCTCATATGAAACATCAACTAACAATCAATAACAAAGAGTGGTGTGCTACAAAATAAATATAAAGAAGCAAATACAAGCTAGCAACAATGCAGCAAGTAAAGCTTGACAATGGTAAGCAAGTAAATACAAATTAAATTTGGGTAGGCACATAATGAAAGCAAAATACTTGGAATAAAGCTAAAACATATACTACTTATAGTCTTATACACATCGAAAGCAAAACGGGACAAGATTACGATTGTTAAAATATGTTTCACAAGCATAAAGAGTAAAGGAAGCTAGTATATAGATTACTCTTATACTACTTGTGGTAAAATGACTCACTGCCCAAAACGGGAGGAGACAATTGAGTGAGAGGTGTGGGAGCATTGTGGGTGCCAAAAGGGAAGGTATCCTCATCGAAACGTGCATGTCGTGTTATGAAGATCCGAGAAGTGACCGGATCAAGACATTTATATCCTTTGTATTGAGCATGATAACCCAAAAAAATGCACGAGATGCTGCGTGGTGAAATCTTATGATCAGAATAATCTCGTAAGTAGGGATAAACAAGACATCCAAGTGGCCGAAAATTCATGTAGGACGGAGTCCGTTTGAATAAAAGCTCAAAGGGGGAGCGGTGAGCCAATACTCTCGTAGGCAGACGATTGATAATATAAACCGCAGTGCTAAATATATGCACCCAATAAGATGGTGGAATATAAGCATTGAACATCATTGCAAGCCCCATTTCCACAATATGACGGTGCTTACGCTCCGCACGACCGTTTTGTTGCGGAGTATAGGGACATGATATTTGATGAAATGTGCCATTTTAATTAAGTAATTTTTTAACTTTGTGGTTTAAAAATCCGGTCCCACCATCACTTTGAAAAATCTTGATTTTGGTATCAAATTGCATCTGAACGAATTTAATAAACGTATCAAAAACCGTGGAGAAATCAGATTTGACTTTGAGTGGGTAAAACCACGTAAACCGAGAAAAATCATCCATAAACGTGACATAATAACGATATCCATCATCGGAAGAAACCGGTGACGGACCCCAAAGGTCACAATGAATCAAGTCTAAAATATGTGACACCCGTTTGGGATTTTCCACAAACGGAAGTCGGTGAGACTTAGCAAGTTGGCACGGAGAACATGAAACTGGTTTTGGTAAAATGGATGAAACTGATAAATGTCCGAATTTATTTAACATTGTAATTATATCAAAAAAAATATGTCCCAATCGCAAGTGCCAACGTTCATACGAGTCTCGTGGCCTAGACTGCACAAAAAACGCAGACGACGGTGGAGAGGACATGAGAATATAGAGACCATCTTCACATCGCCCTTGAGCTAGCACATGTTTCTTGATGCGGTC